AAAGTTCTATGTTTTATATATACGCTAAAGTGAGTTTGACGTTGTATTTTGTTGTTGCATTCAAGTAATTGACGCCGAACTGCTGCTAATTCAAAAATGAAAGTAAAATGCGCACGGCGCTTTTAAGCTATTTAAAAGCGAAGGAAAGCGAGGAAAAGAGGGAACGCCCCGCCCCCGCGGTGATACCGGTATTACCGGTGTTGTCACACGTCGATTAACCGGTGGGAAAATTTCCTCACCGTCACAACCCTAGTATGAAGCACAGCTCACACTTTCAAACCAAGCAGCTTTCTGTTGGTCACCTTGGAGAATCTGCGTGACCAACTTGAACTCTTGAATCTGTGTGAGAATTTTTCACCCTAATGTGAAATTCATGATCATGTGGATTCCTTTTGAAATGATTTTGCCTGTGAAAATTCGTCAAACAGCAATAAATGTGATGCACCTTTTGCCTGTAAAACCTGTCACCACTTTGTTACACATCAGGCTGTTACTAAAGGCAGCATCAATTTCATATTTGCACGTCAAGTAACAAAGTTTGTTCACTAGCTGTCCGTCTAGGTGGTCAGGTCTTGACTGAATACAATGTCCTTTTCAGGGACACGCAGAGAGTTCCTCTGGGGCAGGTGCTCAAATGTAAAATTTGTAAAAAAAAAATAAATAAATTTGGTCAAATGTTTGGATACATTACTATTTTATATTTTTCTAAGAAGTCACTTATGGTCATCAAGCCTGCATTTATTTGATCAAAATGTTAATATACTTTAAAATGCATTTTATGCGATGCTGATTTATTATCAATGTTGGAAACCTGTGATACTTTTTTCAGGATTCTTTGTTGAATAAAAAGTTAAAAAAGAACAGCATTTATTTAAAATATAACTTTTGTAATATACACTACCATTCAAAACTTGAGGTCAGTTTTTTTTTTTTGTTGAAAGAAATTAGTTTTTATTCAGCAAGGATTTGTTAAATTGATAGAAACAGTGATAGTAAAGATTGATATTGTTAGAAAACATCTCTATTTTGAATAAATGCTGTTCTTTTTAACTTTTTATTTATCAATGAATTCCAGAAAAGTATATATATATATATATATATAAGTATAAAAATAATAATAATAAAAATAAAAATAAGCAGCACAACTGTTTCCAACATTGATTATAAATCAGCATATTAAAATGATTTCTGAAGGATCATGCACTGAAAACTGGCGCAATATTAGTTTTTTCTGTATTTTTGATCAAATGCAGGCTTGATGAGCATAAGACACTTTCCATAACCTGGGCTCCAGACTGCGACCAAGTGGTCGCATTTTGCGACCATTTTTTCTGCCTGTGCGACTAAATTTTGTAAGCGGGTTGTTTAGCTCATAAGCGCTGCCATTTCTGTTGCATATGTGAAACATCAAACGGCAAACGAAACTTTTCATTTTGAAAAGCTTGCTATGTTTGCAGTTTACCTCACGTTACGCTATGGAGGCTCTGTTTTATTTTTTATTTGATTCCTCAGTGTTTGCTAAACGTTCTGTAATGTATTAGTCTGTATCCGAAGCCCATAGCAAAAGAGGAACTCCCGTTCACAAAATTCAAATAATAGTACAAATAATACTACTAATGAAAAAGAACAGGTTGAATGTTAACCTCTTTCGTTTCATTATAACTATAAACTATGATAAAAGTTCATCAGCATGCATTGATTAATCCCATGTTGTAGCAAAAAAAACAAAAAAAAAAACAATTGCGACCAAATCATGTGCTCATGGAAAGTTAGTC